CTATTAGATGCCCACTAAAGTCCCAGTGACAACTGCTCCCTGCTCAGCATCATTTTCTCTGTTGGCTGGTGTGATAGGTTCTACAGTCTACCACCATGGGGGAGATAGTTTAGAGTGGGTGTGAGGAGGAGGGGTTGTGAAACATTACTGGATGAAGAATAAGGAGCCCGAGTCCCTGTTGTCTGTGTAAACTTTGTGATCTTCAGCAAGTCCCTAAATTTATATAATTTTTAGGATTGCACACTGAGTGTGCATGTCGTTTTCTGAATATAATAAGTAAGTTTAATGAAAAGAAATACCACTCAGGCACCAGTGTTAAGAAGTCAAATTCCTATGGTTGAGTGAGGAACTCAGATTTGTTCTAGCAAGAGGATTTAGAGGGCTGGGGGCAAGAGGTGGTAACATGTTCCTAACATGATTCCAGACAGGATCAGGGTGATGACTCAGGAATCTGTGGCTCTGCTTCCCACCTAAAACTTCCTACCCGGTCCCAACCTCCCAGACCACCTGGGCTGCTGTGTGCCTGCCTCTCTCAATCTTTACCCTCTGCTTGCTTAGGTTCATGGTAGTCTGTGGCTATCTCCATCACAGCCCTAGTGCCACAGATGGGCATCTTCTGGCAATCCAGGGCCTCTGACTATTCCAGGTCATATTTCCACTGTGGCTTTCTGAAGTTACCCTACATATGCCCCTGGGAAGGGCTTCTGTGCAAAACCCCACATTCCCTGCAGAGCCCTCAAGGCATGCCATCCCAGAGTCAATATTTAAATAGATACTGGTCTTCACAGCCTGGGAGGTGATTATGCCTGTGGTCTTCACCTCCCCAGTTGTCTGCTCTCAAGGTTCATTAGTCCCATCCCTTCAACTCCTCTGCAATTATTGTCACATCAGAATCTCACCCTCCTAGTTTTTGGGCAAACAGTAACACCCTCTTGTTTGTTAGCCCTGTCACCCAGTATACATACCATGGGAGCATCTAAAATCTGCAGTGTGACCCCTTAGCAGCAAAAGAATGGACACTAAAAGGAAGAAACAAAATGGTATAATTGATAGTGTGAGATAGGAAGAAAATGGCTAAAGGGGAAGTGGGAAGGGGAGGGGAAAGAAAATAAGGGAAAAGATGTGAAAAAAGGAAAAAATGGAAAAGTATTTGTAAATAGGGAAGGGTAAAGGGGGTGAAGGGAGGGCAGGGGTATGGGGAAAAATAAGAATCAAGATATATCATGTAGCGGTACAAGATCCCAATGATAAATGTAACTGTATTGTTTGCTTTAAATGTACCAGTAAATTTAATGGGGGGGGGGAGAAAAAAAGAAGAAATGAAAAAACTTGTCCGGAGATTTATTTCTGCCCGGATAGCGGCTCTGGGAACCAGCAGGGGGCGTCAGGGATTACGTCCTGGCGTGCCCTGCCTTCCAAGGTCAAACCAGAATTCAGAGCACCGAGCAGCTGTTCCATAGAGGCGAAGCCGCCACCTTGGCGTAGATCTTAGCCTGGGAAATATTTGTCCCCCAGGGCTCTTTCTCACCCTGTGGGCTGTCAAAGGCCCCCTGTGCCCAGAGCCTCAACGGTGTGTGGCGAAGCGTGTGGTGATGGTGATGGGGTGGGGGTGGGGGACGAGATAGGCGACCGTGCAGGAGCACAGGAGGCTCCTGAGAACAGGGCTGCACTGCAAGCTGGGAAGCGAGCTACCACCGGGGCAGATAATGGACTAAGTGTAATATGATCTGGTTATCACCCCCCCAGCATCTATTAAGTGCTGTTTTTACAGGTAGCTGTGCTAGATTAGAATTGCCGTGCGCTTTACAAAAAGCAAGCAATTGTATTGTTTAAAAAATGTTAGTGCTTTTCATACCACGGGGAAATTCTTGAAATGCGTGTAGAATCAAGTTTTACAAAATGCATCCATAATATTAAAATGCCCCAGGGAGGCCCACATCTGAAAGTAACTCTGCAACCAGTGAATGATGAAGTATATAGAATGCCTTCAAGTGAAATTCTCATGCCTGTGTTTGAATTGTATTTGGAATTTAGGCTGACACACAGAGCCCCAAGGCAAACTACCTGACAAGAAGGAAGTGAACGGGTCCCTGGCTGCTGTAAGTGGGACTTGGTGACACCTCGCTGAAACAGCGAGGCGGTACAGGTTGTCTCAAGGGTCTAGTAGTGCAGTTTTAAACCAGATGAAGTTCAAAACTGCCCTCCAACAATGGAAAGCTGTCGCTGGGGATTTAGCTCAGTGGTTCTGCTGCCTGTCTAGCAAGTACAAAGTTCTGAGTTCGATCCCAAAGCAAAACAATTGAAAACTAAAAGTAGAAAGAGAAGACGCATTAGATACGGAGGTAGCTCCATTCAAGTCCTTTTGTTTGTTCTTTTTTCTTGGTTGGGAGGCCTGAGCTCCAATCCTTGTTTTGTGGCTTACTAGCTAGGTGCAGGTTTTTGTAAAATGGCTCAACTCTCCCAGGATGCAGTTTCTTGGAGATTGAAATGAGGCTGTGGCAATAGATTATTAGATGAGCTGCAGGATCTTCTCCAGAGTGGAGGGGTGTGCGGTGGTGGTGATGGGGGTGTGTGTGTGACAGGTGACAGTGTACGGCAAAGAAGGCTCTTAAGAGTGGGGCTGCACAATAATTTGAGGTCTCAAATGTGTTATGCTTTTGAAGCAGCTAGAGAGGAACAAGCATACAAGCAAGGGTAAGTCATGCAAAGAAAGCTACTGGACTCCGTTGCTAGTTTACTTCCTTCCTTCAGCTTCATCTCTCCTCCCCCAGCTGCCTTTGGGGAGCAGTGACCAATCAGATACAGTCACCAAGCGTCTGCTGGTGGAGCGTCTGAATTTGCACATTTATTGGCTGTACTTCTTTCCTCTGCTCATAATTTATTTTGGAAAGGCTCTGTCCCAAAGGATAGCTTGGTTCAGAGATTTGGGGATTTTTTTCCTCTCTCTCTCTCTCTCTCTCTCTCTCTCTCTGAGGAACATATAAACATATAACTTTTGCTGCTAAGCCCAAAAGTGTTCATCCTTGAGAGAAAAGAAATGAGAAACACAACCACCTCACCGTTAGGGAAGAAAAAGATGAAAGCTCAGATTCTTGAGGCTCAGGGGCCATCACACAAACCGATGTGTTCACCCAGTCCCCAGTCAAGAAATAATATCAGAACAGCAATATCAGAGCTATCATTGAGCATCTACTACTTGTCAGGCATTGCATGAGGCCCTTTTGTATCATTTCAGATGATGCTTTACCCTATAAGGTTAGGCATCACTGCCCTCATGTTGTAGATGAGGAAACTGAGACCATCTGATGGTTTCTTAAAAGCCAGCTGAAGTTGTACTGTGTCACAGTGGCAGAACCAGAATTGAAACCCAATTCTCCTTAGATCCCCCCCATAGACAGGTAACAGAGCAATTGTCAAGAAAATTCTCAAAAAGCTTAACTTTTGTGGAAGGTGTGTGTGTGTGTGTGTGTGTGTGTGTGTGTGTGTGTGTGTGCTTGATTTCTGCTTCATCCTAAATAAGATTTTGGTGCTTAAATCAGATGGTGCCAAGTAGGGACGCCGGGGAATCTAATTCAGGCTCCCTGTCTAGAGCAGGTCACATTGCCAGCCAGGCAGTAAGATCTCCAGGAGTTTCAGGAAATGCACTAGAAAATTAGAATGAAGAGCGTCCTTCTTGCAAAACGCAAGCATGGTGGACAAAAGTAATAAAGGTCAACAGGACCTTCTAAACCACCCAGACTTGGAAGTGGCTCTCATTCTTGGGAGAGGATGCTGCACTTTGGAGAAAACTTTTTTTTTTTTTTTTGGTTT